CTGGTGCCCAGTTCCTGGTGGCCCAGGGTGGCCCTCTGTGGAGCTCGAGTTCCACGAGCTGGAGCAGTTGGTGGCCACGTTGGAGAAGCTGGGGGACACGGTCAGCCTCGCGAAGCACAGGCGCACCCTTCAAGAGCGGCGCCGACTCCAGCAGGAGGCGCTCTACGTGCCGCCGTTGTCGCAGAGGGTCATTCAGGCCCACAAGCAGGTGCAGGACGTCGCGCAGGAGCTGGGGAAGGCGGTTTTGCACTTTGAGCGGCTCGAGGAGGGCCTCGAGAGCCAGCGGCGGTGGGTCCAATCTCTTTGCGAGGACATGGAGTCGAAGAAGGCTGAGCACCGAAAGCTGGTGGTGGAGCTCAATCGTCAGGTGGTCGACATTAGCCAGGAGTCAACTCCTGCAGTTGCCCCCATCAGCGTGGCTGGCATCTTAGACGGCTCCATCGAGGAGATCCCTCTCTCGTTTGCTGGCCTTGGGTTCGACGACGCTGAATATGAGATGGATGCAAATGACAAGAAGGAGCTGGCAGATCGCAGCGCCCGCCTCAAGAGTGAGCTGTCCAACGCGGTCAAGCAAATGTTCGGGCATGCGGCTGAGAAGGCCAAACTCTTCAAGGAAGAGCAGGAGGCCATGGCACTACGGCTGGCTGGCAAGAGGCGGCGACAGGGCTCAGGCCCTGAGGACCCTGGCCCAGCAGGGGCGGCCGCCGCAGGATCAGCTCCGAGAGGCACGGACGGCGAGGCAGCGGACGCCGACGCGACGGCGCCGTCGCCTCCCTCCGCAGCCACGCAGTCGCCCAAGGAGGAGGAGTCAACCAGCCACAATTTCGAGCAGAGGGCGGCCAGGATTTGTCGCCCGCCGCCCCCTCAGGCGGACTCTGCCTGGGGGGGCAGACCCCTTTTGCGTGGTGGCTGAGAGTGATCGGCTGACGCCCTTGGCCGAGGCAGCTGGATCTCTTCGACCAGCTGACCGTTTCTGGAGCAACAAGACCGTGGACCTCGACTGGCCTCAGGTCGGGGGGTTCTGGGTCCCTGCCCTTGATCGTCCAGACGAGGGCACGTCGATGATTGGAAGGCAGTACTGCAAGCAGCTGCACGCCGAGCCCGAGGCAGTCATGCCTGAGCCCATGGGGCAGAGGCCCGAGGCTATGGGGCTTCCACCGGATGTTGCAGATCCTGCTCGGCAGCAGGCCATCCAGGACTTCGCTGACATGAGGGCGGACCTCAGGGACTGGGCTGCCGCCTGGTTTGACTCTCACACTGAGCTGGAAACCGACAGCGGGCACTGGAGGCGCTGGTGCAAGGCTTTCCTGGGCGCGATGCTCGCGGACGGCGGGAACGAGCCGCTCAGGCGCCTGCTGAGGAGCTGGTTTCCAGGCTGGGACTTGGACAACATCCTGGACGAGCTTTGCCTCAGCGGCTGGAGGCAGTCGGAGCCCCGCCGCATCGCCTTCCTGGACAGGCTCAACAGAGCCCAGCCTCTGGATCGGTGGCGGCTCGAGCACACGCACTGGAGGCACCTGGCGCAGATCAGGGCCATGTTTCGTCGACTCCAAGGCGACAGAGCTCCTGGAGACCCAGTGCCGCCTCAGAGGCCTGATGGGGGAGTGGAGCCTCACCCTCTTCGTCGGCCAGACCCTGACGACGACCAGGCGATGGACTACGTCGACAACCTGACGGCGAAGCTGGTCATGCTGTCGCACGCGCCCTCGTGGCAGCTTCCTGGCGGCAGAGTCTCGCCCAGCCAAGCCAACCTGAACGTGGAGCAGGCCAGACTTGGATCGCCCTGGTCAGCAACGGGAGCCTCTTCGGCTTCGGGTACAGTTGAGTTAGAACGCATCCCTGATGGCGTTAGAATGCATGGCGTTAGATCGCACGGCGTGGTGGCACGGGGGTGTGTGAGCCTGTTGGACACCGCCCTTGGCTTCATAGGGGATCGTGGGGGGCGACCACCCCGTGCCGCCAGTCTGCCCCAGTCGCCACCTGCTGGACAAACACGTGGACGCAGTTCAAGACCTGTTCCCGAGTCCTCCTCGAGCTCGGGCCAGGCTCAGTCGCCATCCGCTGGATCAAAACCCTCGCCTGTCGAGAGGGTCGGTGGGGTTGCAGGCAGTCCAAGCTGGCAATCAAGAAGCCAACTCAACACTAAAATCACGGTGGACACCCTGGGCCTCCTGACTGTCCCCGAGCCTCCGATCACCAAGGGGGACGTCCTGTCACAGCTGGAGGGGCCGCCTACGCTCTGCTTGGCCAAGCTGGTGGCGCCGCCTGTGGCTAGACCAGCGTCCTTCATCTCGCTGAATGGCACGACCTGGAAGGAGGCGCAGACGGAGCTAGAGCGCCTCTCGGACTCTGGCTTGAAGGACGATGTCTACCTTATCCAGGAGACGCGCTTCACGGGGAAGGAGAAGGAGAGCGAGGCCATCGGATGGGGCACTCGCAACGGCCTCAACGCTTCCTTCAGCCCATGCAGGAGAACGGGTACCTCGGCCCAGTCGGTGTCATCTGGGGTTGGATGTCTTGTGGCGGCACACCGAGGATCAGCACCTGTGGGCCATGGCTGGGGTCCTTTCAGCTCGCGGCTCCTCGCTCGTAGGGTGGTATTCGGGGACTTGATGGTGATCGTGGTCAGCGCCTACCTGGAGCACTCCGCCAAGATGACGGGCACTAACGTGGAGCTGCTGAGCGAGCTGCAGGTTCTCCTCAACTCTCAATGCGAGCCTTTTGTAGTGGCAGCGGACTGGAACATGGAGCCGCAGCTGTTGGAGAGCTCCTGGTGGCCGCGTTCTGTGGGTGGTGCTGTTGTGGCGCCCAAGCTTCCTACCTGCTCGGTGACCTCGGGGAACGATCGAGTATACGACTACTTCGTGATATCGGCCCCCCATTGCGGCTCTGAGCCCAACGGCAGAAGTGCTTCGGCCAACGACTACACAGCCCCACGCTCCAGTGCGGCTTACCTTCAGCAAGCTGGGGGCACAAGCCAAGGTCTGGGTCTTGCGGGGCCCCAAGAGATTCGACCTGTCGGCGCACATCTCGGAGGAGGACCAGCAGAAGGCGGCGGAAGACGCCCAGGACATCGTCTGGCAGGCGCCCCTGCCCACTCCAGGCGTGAGGCCTGATGAGGCAGTGCGCGAGTTCTTCGACAAGGCGGAGGTCCACCTGATTGCCATGTTGGGTGTCAGTGACGGCCCCAAGTACCGTGGCAGAGCGGACGGGCTCAAGCGGGTAGAGATCAGCCTCAAGGACCTCCAGCGTACGGAGACCTCCAGAAAGGTAAGCCCTTTGACGAGGCTGTGGCTTTCACTCGGCAGGCAAGTCAAGCAACTCAGGGCAGCGGCTTCGGTCTCAGAGCCAGCCAAAGGCCATGGGCTATACATGAAGCGCCTGGAGCAGGCGATCTTCTCCCTGGCAGTTCAGTTCGACGGCTTGGGCAACTCGATGTTCAACGGCACCAAGATGGATACGATAGTCCACGAGGTCAGGCGCGGCTCCTTTGACGGGCTGCAGGTGATGAAGGCCATCGCCAGGGTCACTGACAAGCACGCCAAGGGCGATGCGTCTGCAGCTAGGACCCGCTGGAAGGAGTTCGTGGACGAGTCGCTGGCTGGAGGTGGCCGTGGAGCTCATGCTATCAGCAAGAAGCTCCACGGCGAGGCGAAGCCGATCTTGGCGGACGGCAGCGGCGACTCGCCTCCTGTACCACTGGTGGGCCAAGCGGCCTTGGATCAGATGCTGGTGGAATGGAAGGCCCTGTGGTGCAGCGGGGACGGCCAGCAGTCTAGGCCTGCTGACTGGCTCACCACGTCGGACCTGCCCCCGATCACGGCCGAGCAGGTGCTAGCGTCGGCGAAGACGTTCGCGAAGAAGACGGCGCTCGGATGGGATGGCTTCCACCCCAGGCTGCTGACGGTGCTAGGAAGGCCGTTTGCGCAGCGCATGGCTGACGTGCTGACACAATGGGAAAGGCACCCGCAGCCGACGGCGATGTTCACCACGCTCATCGTCTTCTTGGGCAAGCCTGGGGGAGGACATCGCCCCATCGGCCTGATGTGCTTTTGGCTCCGAGTTTGGGGCAGGATCCGCAGGCAGTACTGTTTACAATGGGGGCGCGACCACCGCCTTCCTGAGATTTGGGGCAGCAGCTCCGACACCAGCTGCGATAGAGCAGCGTACTTGCACAACTTGTACCTAGGCCTCGCTCGGAAGGTCGGCTTCGACGGTGTCTCGGTATACTTTGACATAAGCAAGTTCTACGACCGGATCGACCACGGGCTGCTTCTGAAGGCGGCCGAGCTACATGGTTTCTGCACAGGCTTGGTGCGTGCGCTCTGTGTGGCATACTCGGGGCCGAGGAGAGCGACTGCAGACAGCGCCGTCAGTGAGGAGATCCATGCGAGGGGCACGGTCATCGCAGGCTGCTCGTGTGCGACAACGATGGCCAGGCTCATGCTGATGGACCTCCTGGTCAAGAGCCGAGCTAAGCTCCCCATCGGTCGGATCGTCAACGTGATCGACGACATCTCGGGCAATGGAATCGGATCCAGAGGTGTGCTGGTCAGTCAGGTGAATTGCTTCGTCCAGGGCGTCGTGACGATGCTGAGGGACAAGCGGCTCCCGATCAACTGGGGCAAGACGAAAGTGCTGGCCTCCTCAGTGGACATCCAGCGCGAGCTGATGAAGCAGGAGGGGTGGCCGCTGGACAGGGCCGCCTTTGCTCAGGGACACCGAGATCTCGGTGGTGACGCGACGGCTGGTGGTCACCGCATGGTGGCGACGCAGGTCAAGCGTGAGCTGGATGCACTCCGTCAGGCAGCGCGGCTGACACGCATCTTCGGACCTGGGCTTCGGCAAGCTCGAGTGATGCGAGCTGGGCCGACGGCCAAGGCGCTCTGGGGCTCGGCCATCGCTGGAGTCCCACCTGGGCGAATGAGGGCGCTGAGGGTGGCAGCTGCGAAGTGCGCTGGTCGCTTGCCGCCTGGAGCGGCCCTCAGTTTCGCCCTGCAGTGCGCGCCCCGCGGCTGGCGGCAGGACCCGCTGGTTGTTGCAACGGGCATGGCAGTTCAGGCGTTCGTCAACGTGGTGTGGTCAGGACAAGCCACTGCACCAGCCATTCAAGCGTGCATCCAAGAGAGCCAGCAGGTGCCCAGCAAGCAGCGGCCTTGGAGTTCGGTCCGTCAGCCGATTGCGGCGCTCACGCTCACCCTGCAGAGGATTGGCTGGCAGCTCTCCGTCGACGGCACCAAGCTGCTGGACGAGGACAAGGGGGAGCTCGAGGTGCTGCATTTCTCGCCCGCGTTCCTGGCGGAGAAGGCCAGGGAGGCCACGAGGAAAGCGGCTGCGCTTGAGGAGGCTCGAGCTCGTCCTGGATCGCCCTGGCCATGGAAGCTGCCGCCACAGTGGAGGCCAGTCAACGAGCTGCTCGGCAAGAAGGAGACGGAGATCTGGACTGGGCACCACAAAGGCTGCCTGCGCTGGCTCGTCTCGCTCTCGCACTGGCCCCAGGACCGTCTTGCGAGGCGCTCCTCGGACATCGACCCGATCTGCAAGCTATGCCAGGCTGCACGAGGCACGATGTTCCACAGGCGCCACGTCTGCCCAGCTTGGGAGACTTGGCGGCGTGACAGACTGCCGTCCGACCTGAAGCGCGCTGCTTGGTTGGTCCACGAGATGGGCCCGCCGTTCGATGAGCTGTTCTGCCAGGGCCTGTTCGTGGACCCCTCCCTGCTGTTGCATCGTCCGTGCTGGCAGCCCCATTGGGAGCGGCTCTCTCATGGGTGGCATGAAGCAGTTGTGGTCGAAGACGGTGCCGTGGTTTTCACCGACGGCTCCTGTATCCTCGGTGACTTTCCGCGCCTGCGCAGCGCGGGCTGGTCGGTCGTCGTGATGTCCAAGGAAGGTGCGATCTTAGCAGAGGCGTGGGGGGCGGTTCCCCCCAGTCTATGCCCATCGCAGGCGGCACGTGCTGGAGAAGACTACGCAGCGGTGGTGGCGCTCACTGAGGTCATTGGCAACTACCAGCTGCTGATCGACTGCAAGGGCACAGTGGACTCGGCGCTCAACCTTGGCAGAGCTCAGGGCCCAACTTCGACCTACGCCCATCTCTGGGCCAGAGTTGGGGATGCCGCTGAAGGTGTTGAAGTCAATCGCATTCCTGCACATCGGTCAGAAGCGGCAGCGGCCAGAGGAGAGCTATCGGCTATCGAGCTGTTCGGCAACCGCCTAGCAGACAAGCGAGCGAAGGAGGGAGCCGCCCTCCACGCTCTTCCTGCCGACGACGTCCAGCTCCTGGAGGGCTGCCTGGCCAGGGCACGCGACGCAGCTCGCTTCGCCGCAGAGATCGAGGTCTACATCACGGGTTCTGGGATGCGAGACTGCTGGCCGACGGAAGCCCTGGATAACGTCAACCTCCAGCCGTGCCTCTACCCGTGGAACCTGACGTGCGAGGACGAGGGTTACGGCTTGTTGGACGCCTCCACTGCGCAGCGTGGCAGAGGCTCGGCAGCTGTGACAGCGGCAGCCTTCGCCGCGGCGGCAGCGACCAGCGCAGCGGCTACAGGTGCCGCTGCAGGCGCCGCGGGCGGCGCAGCGGGGCCTGTCCGCAAGCGCCCAGCGGCTGCGCAGAGGGCCGACTCCGCCCCTGCCGCCCCCATCGCTGCGGGGGCAGACGTGGTGGGCACTACTCGTGCTGAGGCAGCGAGCGAGGTGTTTGCGAGAGATGTTCGGCGCAGGGCGGAGGCCAGGTCGTCCGCAGCGCCTTCTCAGCGCATCCAGCTGGAGGAGGAACGCCCGTCTCCTGCTCTCACGGCTGGAACCGAGCCATGGGTAGTGCACGGCCACAACCTGATGCAGACCAACGTGGTGAGCAAGCCGAGCGAGGCCATCCTGGTGTGCACACGCTGCTTCATGTACTGCCACCAGCCGCGGTACGCGCACAGGGGCCTGGCCAAGCCGTGTGTCGGTGGCGATCACAGATCAAGCCAAGGGTCGCGTGCTCAGGCCAGGACGGACTTCGGCAAGCTGCGATTGCCAGGCAAGTTGAAGCCGCCGATCGCGATGCTCAAGACGCCGACGATAGAGGGGATGCAGCGCTGGTGGAGGTCGCTCAAGATGGACGACTTCGACGGGCCCATCCCCCTGGTGGACGAGTTCCTGGCGGCGGCGCGTGCTGGCGGCCCTGGCGGCTCGCCAAGGCCTGCGGCTGCGCAGCCTGCAGCGGGCCGAGCAGCTGGCGCGGCTGGGCCTGCGGGCGGAGCGGCGGCGGCTTCGGCGAGCGCCTCGGCCACCTCGGGCGCGGCGGCGGTGCAGCCCGTGGTGCGCGAGGGCGTGCAGGAGCTCTTCGTGCCCGCCCTGGAGGGCGTCCTCCGCGCGCACGGCTTCGCGTCGGCGGAGGACGCCCGCGCCCGAGGGCGCGAGGCAGCCCTGGCGCGCGGGGAGCGGGGCCGCGCGCGGGAGCTCGGCGCTGCGGCCCCGCGCGCGGCGAGGAGGCGGGGCCAGCGCTGGTGAGCGCCCCCCTCCTCGGCCGCCGCGGGGCCCGCCGCAGTCCCGCGCCGTTTGCGCGGGCGAGCGGCTGCGCCCGTGAATTCGTGGCATGACCACGCGGGTGCTCGCGCCCGCTCGAAGAGTAAAAAAAAATGCCCTCACCGTAAGGATGATGATGCTAACGATGAGGATGATGATTATGATGCTGGTGCTGATGCTGCAGATGATGATGAGGATCATTGTGATGGTGATGAGGATTATGATGATGCTGCTGATGATGATTATTATGATACCGGTTATGATGATGCTGATGCTGATGCTGATGATGGTGATGATGATGCTGATGATGATGATGCTGATGATGATGATGATGCTGATGATGATGATGATGATGACGATCAGCTTGCTACAGCGCCTCAGCGCAATCGGGCCGCCACGCGTCTGGCACGCGTCCCTCCGCGCGCTCCTGGACGGTTGGAGTACGGCGGAACGCAGGGGAGGTGATGCCACGTGCGTGTTCGGATGTGTCGCGCGGGACGGTTTACGACATTATTGTGTATGTCCCGCCTTCCGCCTCGGGCTGCAGGCACCGCCGCTTGGGCAGAAGGGATATTATTTCTTGGGACTGAGGCTCGCCATGTCGAATGTGTTCGAGGTGACCGTCCTACGCCGCGTGTTGGCAGTCTACGCCCTTTATTCAGCACCTTGTCACTCCCGACACTGTGACCTGCGAACGCATGCCGTGCGCGGGGCTATGCAGCAATTTATCCGCGACGCCTGCCTCGGATTCCCAGGTCTCGCGCCCGCGTGCCGTGGAGCGCAATCTTGACGCCTCGCCTCCTTCCGCCCTCCCCGTCCTCCTACTCCTGGTTTGTGCGTGCGGTTGCGAAGCAGTGTGGACTGCAAGTGAGGAGCTTGCCGCCTTTCAAATGCAATATCAATGTTTCCTGCCTGCGCTGTTAACAGGCTCTCTAGGGAAGCTCATGTGTTTGAGGGGGACCTATATTAGAAGCCTCAATGCCGGCGCTGCTCTCCGGCCCGCCTGCCTTCCGGGTGGTGTCGCCGTCCCTCTTTCCTCCGTCTTGCGTCGCTCCTCTGCCTGCTCTCCCTCCTTCTCGTCCCTCGGGCTGTCGCCCGGGCTTCGCCCTCCTCTTTCCCCCTCTCTCGGCGCGGTCGTTCCCTGTCGCTCGCTCTCCTCCCTCCCCCGGCTCGGTCCCCGGGTGTCGTTCCCTCCTCTGCCCCCTGCTGCTGTTGCTCTTCTGGGTCGTCCACCTCGGGGGCCGCATGGCGGGCAGGGCGCGCATGGACAGATTTTCGACATCCCCGGTCCAGACAGATTCGGACACACATTGCCGAGGCCCGCTTTTGACGGGTCGGGTTGACACGTGGTGCACCTCGTACCTGCCCCCGGCCTTCCTGATGGCCGGCCCTGTGCTGTGTTGTGCCACCTCAGACCCTCATGTCGGCAGGATGGTGTAGAGTGCATGCGTTTGTGGAGAAATGCGGTCAGTTAGCGTCTCGTATCTCTCGCTTTCAGTGCGTTGAATTGCGTCGTGTTGCCGCGGGGGCCCAACGGCTCCAGGTGACCGGAATGCGTTTCCAGCTTCCTGGCTGGAACTCTCGCCAGTGCTTAGGAGATCGTTTTTTAATGACATACTTGTCTCGGGCGAATAACTGCCCGAATTTCCGCCCCAGTCGCGGCTTAGTTTAGTCAGTCTGTGATGCGGTTGCATGTGCAAGTTGAGGAGTTGTGTACGTAAGTTCTGTGACCAAGCCGCATGCCCTGCACCGTCTGGGCGCCAGCGGCGTGCCGTTGCACAGCGGCGCCCCATACCAGGCTCCAGTTCCGTGACGCGCACCGCCCGTGAAGCAGGGCGTGCGCACAGTCCGCCGACCCCACGCGCGGGAGGCACTGTTCCTCGTAGTCAGACCCGCCAGTGCCCGCGTGCCGTTCCCCCCCCCTCCTCGTCCTCCAGCCCGTGGCTTTTTGTTCCCAATTTTCCTCCAGTTTGCTAGTCGCCGTGTCTCCTGACAGATTCTGGCACCCGCCAGGCAACCATAAGGGTTGCGATAGGGCTTCCTCCCTCTCCGTCCCACTCCTCCTTCCCCTCCTCCTTCCTCCTTTCCTGTGCCATCCTCGCTCACGTCGAGCCCTAGACACGATGAGGACCAGGGGCGGTCTCTTATCTGTGGTTTTTGCAGTGCCGCTTCATGGCGTGCTTGCTCTGCCTTCTCCGCTGTTCACTCCATGGTCTTGCCTATTGAATGTCGGTCCATGTTGCGTTCACTCCTCTGCCCGTGCCCGGGGCCACGGTCTTTTCTTATCGGGGCTTCGTTTGTCTCCTGCTGTCGGGGCCGTTAATTTCCTCTCCCTTCCTCCTCTCCTCCCTCGGTCTTCTCTCTCTGCTTCCTCTCCCCTTCCTTGGCCACGTTCGCAGGACCACCCACTTTTAATGGCTGGGCCGCTTCTCTGCATCTCTGGCGTTTCACTTCCTTTCGATAGCACGGGGTATTTGAATTAGCT